GAGCTATCCCTCCCTCCTCACTGTTTTTCTTCTCTCCCCCCTCCTGCCTCTCACTCATGGGACCACGGAGCCCAAACAGCCATTTGGTCTCTGCACTCCCTGTGCTGCATGGGGAGCACGGAGCCCAAACGGTCGCTTGCGCCCCTTGCTCCCACGTGGCGGCCTGGCTGAGTGTCGCAGAAGTCAGCTGAGCACCACGGCAGGAGACAAAGGGGGGTGGGGCGGTGACGTTCACGGCCAGGGGGCAGGGCCCGGAGCCACTGTCATGCCGCACGTCACCACCCCACCCCTCTTTGCCTCTCGCCGTGGTGCTCAGCTGACTTCTGAGCCGCTCAGCTGGGCTTCCATGCAGGAGAAAGCGGTGCAAGCGGCCGTTTGGGCCCCACCCTCTCCATGCACCACCCCCATGCTCCTCCCCCCCCGCCCCCCCTCCCCCTCCCGCCGTGGCACTCGGCTGACTTCTGCACCGCTCAGCCGGGCCACTGCGGGAGAGCAAGCAGCCGTTTGGGCCCCGCACTCCCCATGCAGCATGGGTCGCCCAGAGGGAACAGCCAGCATTTCAGCAACAGCACCGCCCAGAGGGAACAGCCAGAATTTCAGACAACAGCGCCGTCCAGAGGGAACAGCCAGAATTTCAGCGTTACAGATTCACAGACACTGGACTACTATATATATGATGATAAACAAGCAGGAAGGATTGGGAGTCATAGCCCAGTCTAAGAACTATGACGTGATTGGAATAACGGAGACTTGGTGGGACGACTCACATGACTGGAGCACTGTCATGGAAGGGTAGAAACTGTTCAGGAAGGACTGACTAACTTAATTGCCTTCTATGAGGAGGTAACCGGCTCTGTGGACATGGGGAAGGCAGTGGAGGTGATATACCTTGACTTTAGCAAAGCTTTTGATACTGTCTCCCACAGTATTCTTGCCAGCAAGTTAAAGAAGTATGGAGCGGATACAGGGACTGTAAGGAGGCTGGAAAGCTGGCTAGATTGTCAGGCTCAACAAACAGTAATCAAGGGCTCAATGTCTGGTTGGCAGTGGGTATCTAGCGGAATGCCCCAAAGGTAGCTTCTAGGGCCGATTTTGTTCCACATCCTTATTAATGACCTGGCTGAAGGGATAGATTGCACCCTCAGCAAGCTTGCGGATGACACTACGCTATGGGGAGAGGTAGATACGCTGGAGGGCAGGGATAGGGTCCAGAGTGACCTAGACAGATTAGAGAATTAGATCAAAAGAAATCTGATGATGTTCCACAAGAACAAGTGCAGAGTCCTGTCCTTGGGATGGAAGAATCCCAAGCCCTGCTACAAGCTGGGGACCGACTGGCTAAGTAGCAGTTCAGCAGAAAAGCACCTGGGGATTAGAATGGATGAGAAGCTGGAGATGAGTCAACAGTGCGCCCTTGTACCCAAGAAGGCTAATGGCATACTGGGGTGCATTAGGAGGAGCATTGCCAGCAGATCCAGAGAAGTGATTATTCCCCTTTATTTGGCATTGGGGAGGCCACATCTGGAGCGTTGCGTCCAGTTCTGCCCTCCCACCCCCACCCCCACTCTTAAAGCCCTGGCTGGGATGGTTCAGTTGGGGCTGGTCCTGCTTTGCGCAGGGGGTTGAACTTGGTGACCTCTGCCAACCCTGGGATTCTCTGGTTCTCTGATCTCACACAGTTCACTGCAATTTTGTGATATTGGGATTTACCCACAGTATTATGGATGGTTACTCACACTCCGTTCAGCACAGCCACTGGCCTGGCGGTCTCACCTTCACCAGCCTGAGATGTTCATGGGCAGGTGGTTTCTCTAAGGCTGCTCTTCATTCTGCTGGCTTCTTTTCCTTCCTGCCTGCTCTTTAATTAAGCCAGAACCTCCCCACACTAAATACCCCAGTGCTCAGGCCATGCAGTGGTTGTAAGGGACTGCAGAATAGCCACACCAACCGAATGGAAACTACGTAGCCCAACGCACCTGGGGACGAGTATTAATTAGTATTATTTATTTCAGCAGCTCTCAGAGCCCCAGTCCTGGACGAGGACCCTGCTGTACTAGGTGCTTGTAGGAAGATGAGGGTCTGAAACATCAGGCCACGTCACTGGCCGAGTGTGAGGCCTGACGACTAGACAGTAATGGTCAAGCTTAGCTAATCTAAAGCAGAGGTAAGATGTGAGCAAGGGGCAGGCCCTGCTCACAGAAGCTGGCTAGAACGGGGCTGATAGCAGAGAAACACTCAGCTCTAAGAGGTCCCAGGCACAGGCTGCAAGCACTTTGCAGAGGGGTCGTAATAGAACATCTTGTTAAGAAACACCTTAGTGTGATGGACCGGGCCGGGTCTGGGCACCATTGAGGTGAGAAAGGTGCGAAGGGAGGGGTGGGGGATGAAAAGGGAATACAAGGGCCCTTTGTGGAGAGTCTCACAACTGGCCTTGCACAAAACTCTCCCTCAAGGACTCCCTGATGGGCACAGCCCCTTGACATGGTGACAGACCTGGCCGGGTCTGGGCACTGCTGAGGGCATCTGCCCAGGGCAAATTGCTCAAACGCAGGGCTCCTTACAGCCCCAGACTGGAGACCATCCCAAATAGGCCACAAACCAGTCACAATGAGTGCTCCAGCTGCCTATCTGGCCAACCTGAAGCCTCACAAGCAAAACCCCTCTGACACTCCAGCTCCCTCTGTGCCGCAATCAACCCCAGGCCTAACACACAAGCGAGGGGTTATAGAACCCAATTACCTACCCTGAACGAGTTCTTCCAGTCCCAAGAAACCAGCCACAGTTCCCAGTCAATTTACACTTTGGATCTTACCCACAAGAGCACGCTGGGCCAATCCTGTAGAATCTAAAATCTAAAGATTTATTAATGAAAGAAAGAAAAGCAGGAGAGTGAGGTTGTTAAGGAGAATACATTACATGTATTGAATTACCAAGTTCTCAATGCAGGCTCTCAGCAGAGATGTTACGAACTTGCTATTTAAAAGTCTCTGGTGCACATCCTGTGTCACATCCAATTCTTCCCGGTTTGCTGTTCCTCACAAGGCTGCATCTGGAATCAGGAGCAGAATTGAAGGCAAAATGGAGTTTGCCTCATGGAATTTTATATCCATCCCTGGTATCTTCCAAACTGGAGCAGGTCACATGTCCCTGTGACCTATCCCTATGCCCCATGTCAGCAGCCATGATATTGGCTGGTTTGCAGGTTCCAGACCCATGCCTCACGTGTATTGGGCACCTTGAGAGCCATTGTTCCTGGAGCCTTGCTAATTAGCATAGTCATTGACTGGACATTCCTTCCTTATAGCAGACAGTTCAGGTCCATTGCTCTGTCTCAGGCAGAGAACACTCACAGTATCAGCACAGAGTCCACATTCATAACTCCTCATACAGATATCACACAGGTCCATGAGTAGCACACATAGAATCAGTCGAACATAAGCTTTCATTTACCACCTCATATGGCCCCCATTGTACAAACTTTGGGTCAAACAACCTCCCTTGCGCACAGCAGTGATCTGGCTGCTCCCCTTAAAATCCAGTAACGTGACACCCCCAATGCAAAATCGATGCAAGAAGTGATGCCAGTAACATCACTGAGGGCATCGCAGGCCTCCCCATGTTTTGGCTCAATGTCAGTACAGGTTCTAATCCAATACTAGAAACAAGAGTACAGAACTGGACAAGTGTATGATAACCAGGTTCGCCTACAATACGCTTCCTCATTGCAAGGTCTGTCATAGCAACCACCACGTCCTTGCACTGTTTTATAAATCCAAGGTAAATCTTGGTAAGAACCACAGCCGATCCGCCCCCTTCTGTGGGGATAGGGTTGCCCACAGAGGGTGACAACCTGATACGTCAGGAGTGATGTGTAACTTGTTTGCCTTACGTATAAAAGTGCTCCCCAAAGGGTAGCCGTCAGCTGACCGACAGGGTGACTCTAGCATCCAGAACACTGATTAGGTGTCAGTCCGTTCTCATGGTGTATATATGCACTGTGGTGCAGTGGCAAGTCTGTTCACTGACAACAAGTATTGTACTTCACCTGGCAATGAACCTAGCCAGGTACTTTTGATCCTTATCTGATTTGCAGTCTCTGGGGGCTCTCTCAGAGTCTGTCGTGTTGACTAATTGCTCACCATTAGGGTGTTAGAAAGGGGAGTGCACATACACATGCACACAGCCAGAAGTTTCTCTTTCATTGATGGAGTAGAAGACTCATCAAGAACTCATCAGGACAACCCTGCCTAACTGACAACAGTGCTGTATAAACACAAAGCAAAAACATAATCCTTGTCCCAGCTCACAGTATAAGGAGATGCATTGGACAGACACCTGGGCTAGGATTCAAGAGAGCTGAATTTATTGCCAGTTCTGCCCTTTGCCTACCGAGTGACCTTGGTCAAGTTACATCCCTGCTTTGTGCCTCATTTTCCCCATTTGTAATAATCAGGAGACTGCTATTGACCTTGGCAACGTTCTTTGAGATCTACTGAAGACTCATATTAGAAAAGAACTGGGAATCTTTACACTAATGCACAGGCTCATCCATAAAACTCTACAGTTAATGGATTTGAAACTATTTAGAAATCCAGAACTGCCATGAAATTTTTTCCCAAAAATCTGAAACTTGTTGGCTTTTACATGATTTTAAACCTCTTTAGTATCCAGCCAGGGATCTATGACCAATTGGCCTTCAATTTCAACCTATAAAGAGACTTTGAATTAATGAGATTCCAGAGCCAGCTGGTGATTCAGAATACAAAAGACGGGTTAGAACACAGTGGGAGATCCTGGACAAGGTTACTGATCTGGTGCCACTGATGACCAACTGAATCTGGAAAAATTTGAGAGACCTAGAACATATGGAATTCTGGAGAGAGCAGGGAATCTAGAACCCAGGGACACTGCAGGCTTTATAAAGAGTGAGATAGCTGGAACCCATACGGTTTCAGAAACATCAGGGATCTAGGAACAAATAGGACATCATTAGGACAACATTAGGACATCTCCTGTTTTGTGTTCTCAAGATCTCCCCCGTGTCTTCCACTAGTGTCAGCAGCACTGCTGCCGAGTTTGTCAACAAAAGCTGTCTTGACCAAGGTGAGAAGAGGCGTCCTGCAGACATGACAGAACTTTTCCCCTGCAAACACGTAGAGGATGGGAGAGAAACAGGCATTGAAGCAGGTTGTGAAGGTGTAAATGCCCAAGAGGTCACCTGACACTGACTCTGGCAGCTCCTTCCTGTAGAGAATCATACCTTGGGAGAAGTGGTAGGGCAGCCAGCCGAGGAAGAAGGAAGCCACCGCGGACACCATGACTTTCAAGGGTTTCCCAGCCCACGCCAGCTTCTTCTCCTTCATCCTAAGCACCACCCGGCTGTAGCATCCCACAATGGTGCAGAAGGGCAGCAGGAAGCCCAGCAAGAACCGGATCAAAAAGACGGCCAGATGGATCCGTCTCCCCAGATCCCACGTCTCGGTTCCATTCCAATTTCTGGAGATATTGTAATTGTTGATGCAGGCGATTCTGCCCCCGTCTCTCATGAGGGTCTCCCGGAAAGCCAGAAAGGGAGTGCTGAGAGCAAAGGAGACCAACCACACTCCCACAGCCAGTTTGCCAGCCAGGGCCACAGTGCGGTGATTCTTCGACCAGATGGGATGGTGAATGAGGGTGTAGCGGTCCAGGCTGATGAGGGTGAGCAGGAAGACGGAGGAGAACATGCCCACGGAGATGCAAGTATTGAGGAGTTTGCACATGGCCGTGCCGAAGACCCAGTGGAAATCCAGGAGGATGTAGACAGCAAAGAAGGGGATCAGCAGGGTGAAGAGGAGGTAGCAGGATATAAGGTGGAGGAACCAGAGGGTGGTCACCGTCCTGCTTATCTTCAGCCCCAGCACCCACAGGTACAGCCCGTTCCCCACTACACCCACCAGGAACGTGATGAAGAGCAACCCAGCCAGGGCCAGGTAAGCAAGGCTCACAGATACTGGGCTCTGGCTGGAGTTTGCCTCCGTATTTGGTGGGAGGGTGGTGTTGCCTTGGTCCATGGTGCCCTGGGGAGAGACAGAAGAGGGGCTGGAAGGAGGACAGAGGAAGAGAAAGGGAGTGAAAGAGGAGAAAAGGAGAAATACCAAAGGGGTTAGGAGCACACACTATTGTAGGGGACTTCTATGGACCCCTCTGTTCATTGCAGGAGGAGTAATGTTAGTTTGAATTAGGAGCTTTAGTTTGAACTTCCTAGCCCGTGCCGCGTGTAGCCACGGGCAGGTAGTTCGAACTACAGGGTATTTAAAAATGGCAGCACCCGGGAACATGCAAATGAAGCCCGGGATATTTGCAAGTTCATTTGCAAGTTCGAATGACTACATTAGCTACCCTAGTCCAAACTAGGGTGGCTAGTGTAGACATACCCTCAGAGAGCAGCTGAGCAGGGCCAGCTCTAGGTTTTTTGCTGCCCCACGGAAAAAAAATGTTGGCTGCTCCCCCCCACCCGCCTTGGCCCACTGCTGCAGGACAGGCACTGAGGAGGAAAATGCCCCTTTCACCTTGCAGCTCTTTGACTCCCACCATGCCCTCCGGCCAAACCCAGCTTACGTCCTGTCTCCCCTCCACACACATCCCCATCCACACACATCCCAACCTCCCCCCCACACACTCACCAGACCCAGTTTCCACCTTCTCTCCCCTCCCAGGCAAACCCAATCCTTAGTGACCGGACCCAGTCCCTCCACTTTTCTCCCCCACCTAATCTGCCCTCTCTTCCCTCCCAGCCAAACCCAATCCCCACCTCCCGAGCAGACCCAGACCACTCCCCTCTCCCATCTCCCCCCACTGACTGAACTCTGTCTCCTTTCCCTCTCCTCGCCAAACCCTCATGTCCCCTCCCCACAGTATGCATGGAAACATTGGAGCACCCTGGGGGAGGGGGAAAGTGGCATGAGTCCCCCTACTTCCCTTTCTCTGCAGCTGTAAACATGCCTTCTGAGGCCATTATAAAACAAAGTAGGGAAGTTCATGTTGTTTCCCTTTCTGTTTGCACCACTTTGTTATAATTACAGTGAAATTCATGAATCGTACACAGAGCCCAGACATTTGGATTTTCTGAGAATTGCCTGAGAATTACAGAGAATCTGTTCCCTCAGGCTGCATAGTTATAAAGCCAGTTTATGAGCTGGGCCAGTTACCATCACCTCCCGTCCACATTCCCAAACTCTGCATCAGACTCTTTGGGGCTGCAGTGGAGTCGACCTCTACAGCGCACGAGAACTTGCAGAAGTGTCCCTGGGTACCTGCTCTCTGTGCAGTCTTCCAACCACCATCACAAGTTGATGAGCTGCTGAAAATACCGTATTGGCCTTATGCAATGAGATTACTTCTCCCTATTTGAATATCTCTCAATCCTACTTGATTAGAAAATAGGCCGCTCTTTTTAAACTCCTCTTTTCCCCTTTCCACAAAACCTGCCTCTTTATGGGAGATGTTGCTATAAGAAATGCTAACACGGGAAACAGACAAGCAGGCATGTCAATAATTGCACTTCATCTACAGTCTCCTTAACTACAAGATTTGAAGTATCTCATTCCCGTGTTTTTGTCACAAATGTAAAGCCCCTAAACCTTATATTTATCTGTCTAGCCTTCAGTATCATGATGGCTCTCTAGAGAGAGAAAAGGGAGTTACTCACCTCGTGAAGTAACGAGTCTTCTTCAAGATGTGTGTCCCCGTCGGTGCTCCACTCTAGATGAAGGGTTGCCCTGAGCCTCAGATCGAAACCTTGCAAAACAGTTTCCCCCGTTGGGCCGCGCAGTGGTTGAGTGCCTGCAGTGCACGGCTCAACCCTCTCCCTTTCAGTTCCTCGTCTTCTCCTGAGTAACTAGACTCCGAGCAGAGGGGAGGAAGTGAGGGTCGTGGAGCACCCACGGGGATGCACATCTCAAAGAACACTCGTTACTGCAAAAGGTGAGTAACTCCCTTTTCTTCTTTGAGTGGTGTCCGCGTGGGTGCTCCACTCTAGAGCCGTGTCCAGACTTAGGGGTTTTTTCGGGAAAAGTAGCCTTTTCCCGAAAAAACTTCCCCTGCATCCAGACTCAAGCCGCGTTCTTTCGAAATTATTTCAAAAGAACGCGGCTTTTCTTTCGATGGCGGTAAACCTCGTTTCACGAGGAAGAACGCCTTCTTTCGAAAGTTCCTCTTTCGAAAGAAGGCGTTCTTCAATGTAAATAGGGCTTCTTCAAAAGAGAGCATCCAGACTCGCTGGGTGCTCTCTTTCGAAAAAGCGGATTGCTCTTTCGAAAGATCCGCCTGCAGTCTAGACGCGCTCTTTCGAAAGAGGCTCTTTCGAAAGATGCTTTCGAAAGAGCCTCTTTCGAAAGAAGCCTGCAGTCTAGACATAGCCTAGGGGTGTGTCTAGACTACATGCTTCTGGCGACAGAGGTATGTAGATTAGGCTACCCGGCATAGGGAAATGAAGCAGCAATTTAAATAATCGCCTCTTCATTTAAATTTAAATGGCTGCCGCACTGTGCCGATCAGCTGTTTGTCCGCTCAGCGCGCTAGTCTGGATGCTCCGCAGTTGACATCAAAGGCATTTGTCGACCACTCCGGTATGCCTCATGGGATGAGGTTATCTGAATGGTAATCTGAATAGCGGGTTCAGTTTGTTGGAACGGAACCCCCACCAGGAGATTGTTTGGAATTGTCCACCATCATAGGGGAGGAATGGTAACTCTCTTGCTCCGGGGGTGTCGTGACGGGAAGTAAACGGTTGCTACCCGAAGGTGAAAGCATCGACAGTGTAGACAAGCATGGTGGACCACATAGGTCGTGGAAGCCATGTGTCCCATTAGCCGGAGACAAGTAAGTACTGTGATGGTGGGAGTTGTAAGCATCACGCTTATAATTTCTTGTTTAGTTATGAAGCGTTGATGAGGTAGATATTCTCAAGCAGTAATTGAGTCCAGGTGTGCGCCAATAAACTCTATATCTTGAACTGGGTGCAATGTTGATTTATGTTTGTTGATTAGGAGGCCTAGACGATTGAGGAGGGCTGTGGTCGTATGTATGATAGAGGTGGTTTCGTCCCGTGATGATCCCTTTATAAGGCAGTCATCTAGGTAGGAGAATACGATGACATTCTGTCACCTGAGGTACACGGCTACGACTGCTAGTACCTTCGGGAATACCCTCGGAGCTGATGAGAGACCGAAAGGGAGAACTTTGTACTGGAAGTTTTCTGGGCCGAGCATAAAGCGTAGATAGCATCTGTGGGCTGGGTGGATGGTTATATGAAAGTAAGCATCTTGCAGGTTGGGGGCTGCAAAGTAGATCAGGAATGATTGTTGTAAGTGTGACCATCTTGAAACGTTGTTTCCTGAGAAATTTGTTCAGTTTGCGGAGGTCTAATATAGGCCTCCAACCACCTATTCTTTTCTCAGTTAAGAAATAGGTTGAGTAAAATCCTTTCCCGTGGAATTCTTCGGGCACCCTTTCTATGACTCCGATTGCGAGGAGTTGATCGATCTCTTGTTTTAGTAGGGTCTCATGAAAGTGATCCCTGAAGAGGGACAGGGTAGGTGCGATAGCAGTAGGTGGGATGGTATAGCCTACTCGAATTATCTCTAGAACCCAGCGGTCCGATGTTATAGATTCCCATTGTGGAAGGAACGGATGTAAACAGTGGGTAAAGAGATGGCCATGTTGTGTTGGTGCTAGATCGTAAGGGAGCTCTTGCAGACCCTCAATCACATCATCAAATATGCTGCTTGGAAGGTTGAGTAGTTGGCCGACGGCCCTGGCTGGGGCATCGTCTCTGAGCTTGGTGCCTTGGCCTGGCGTTTTTTTAAGGCCTCTGTGGTCGGTTGTATTGCTTGTATCGGTATCGGTTATATGTGTTGTTTGGAGTGTACCGTCTGTGTTTGTAGAGCGGCGTGTACATGCCCAGTGTGCGAAGTGTGGTTTTTGAATTTTTACTGTTGTGAAGAATTTCATCTGTGGTAGCTTCAAACAACTTTTACTTGTCAAATGGAAAGTCTTCTACTTTGGGCTGGAGTTCCCAGGGAACGCTGGACGACTGTAGTCAGGAAGTTCTGTGCATCATAATCACCATAGCTGTCACTCTGGCTGCGGTGTCAGCAACATCCATTGCAGTTTGGAGAGCGATGCGAGTTATCATATGGCCCTCGTAGACTATTGCTTTCAAGATAGACTTTTTGGAGTAAGGGAGGTGTGGTATCAGTTCTCCTAATCATATATACAGTAGCCCAGTGTCTGTGCGTCTGTAACGCTGGCAGGTTTGTAGAGGAAGGTATTAGAAGAGGGGATGAGGAGGGGTAGCACACATGATCAGAGTGGGGCTACTGGAGGAGTGGGCACAGGGGGGAGAGAAGGGCTGGTGGAGGGGGGCAGATCGCAGGAGGACTGAAGGTAGTGAGAAGGGCAAGAGTCAGGACAGTGGAGGAGGGTGAGGAGTTGGGAGGCAGCAGACACCAGGGGAGATGATGGCAGCAGAGAGACAAGGTAAAGGCTTATAAAATATTTATTAATAACTTGGTCTGCTGCCCACGGCCAGTTTGTTTGCGCCCCGTGGTGCAGTTTGGGTTTATGTGGGGATCAACATGTGGCCAGCAAGTGGGAGCCAAAACAAAAAAGTCGTCAGTGTAATGATTTTCTGTTGAGATGCGTTTTAGTAGTTAAATTCTTGGGCTGTCATTCCTCATGAAAAGTGCTGTCACATGGGGAGAAATCGGGTAAATATTGCTTTTTATTAATATTAACAGAACTGACTTAAATGGGGCCTCTGTGTTGTGTAGTCTTGCCTTAATCTTTGTAGTCACATGTGCTGTGTCACTGAGATCTTCCCACCACATGTAGATAACACAAGAGCTCCCACAACTGTTGCTCACCAGCTCTAACCACTAGACCCTATCCTCGTGGAGCTAGGACCAGAACCAGCAGCCCTGGCTCCCAGCTCGCCCTTGCCCCTACTCTAACCGCCTGAAGTCCCATCATTTGTGACTCAGCTTTTCTTTGTGAGCTCACAGGTTATCTC